AATTTTTATAGTGCTTTACTCTATTGTTCATTGTGCATGACAAAGATGCATGATGCAACATGCATGTAGACATTCTTTGTGGTGCATTGGATGCACAATGAAAAATTGTTGTTTTGTTCACCATGAAAGTAGCTTAAATTTTGTATATGTCATTAAAAACATAGGAATGTGTTTATGTTGTGAGAGTTATGCTTCCACCGACCCATTTAAAGAAAAATGATGATTTGTTTGTGAAGCTAGGTGTTAGGGTGGTTGGTTCATGTGTCTAATGTTGTGTAATTGTTATTGTTCTTGGATGCCATTGAGATTGTCTTGGTGAGACAAGAGAACAAATTTTAGGTAGGACGTGACACTAGGAATGTTAGATAATCCATTTTTCAACATAAAGAATCGATTTTTGGTGAGAATTGTTGCAGAGAATCAATTATCAGTGATAATTATTAAATGAAAATTAATTTTTCATCTACCTAAAATTGATTTTTGACCAGTTTATTGAAGGAGAATTGATTCTCCTAGTTGTATTTGTATATTATGTTGTGGTTTTATTTATGAATTTGATGTGTGTTATGTCATAGGTTATGCATTTATGTGAGGTTCTGATCATGATGTTACTGGTGTTGTGGTTGGTTGTGTGGGTTGCTGCTGGTACTTGGTTCGTGACCTGTGTGGCCTCGGTGTAGTGGCTATTCATGATAGTTTGTTGTTATCCTTGTTACGCTTGTGGTTTATGCATGTTGGTTTTCCTTGGTGGTGATGTCTTGATGGTTTCTGACCTGGATATTCAATAAGTAAGTAAAAATAATATTAAAAATAATACAAGTGTTTTGATTGAATATAAATGTATTAAGTTAGTTAAATGATTTAATTTGAGTTTGTATATTAGGTTTATTCCATGGTTTAAGATCACGATTAAGTTTTTAAAATTGTGAAATTATAATTTAATAGAGTTAAAAAATGTAATTTATTATATTTAATTATATAAAACAACTTATATTAATATTTTTTATGATAGTATAAAATTATCATTTAATTAACTTAAATTTAAATACAATTATAACATATTAAATATTTTATAATTATCGTTTATTAAAAATTATAATATAAAATATAGTATAATATATTATTTTATGAAATTAGTATTAATTTAATTTTAAAATATTATAATAAAATTAAATTTAAGTTTAATTATTACATATTAAATTTTGTATAAAATTATCATTTATTTGATACTAAAAACTTTTGTAAAAAATATAGTATAATAATATTTTATGAAATTAGTATTAGTTTAATATTAAAATATTATAATGAAATGAATTTAAATATACTTATAATATATTAATTTTTTATGAATTATCATTCATCATAAAAATATATTAAAAAATTTAGTATAAATTATAATATAATACTATTTTATGACATTTGTATTAATTTAATATAAAAATATTATAATAAAAATAAATTTAAGTGCAATTATAACATATTAATTTATTTATAAAAAAATATCATTTATCCTAAAAAAGATGCTAAAAAAATTAGTATAAGTATAATGTATAATAATATTTTATAAAATTAGGATTAAATGTGTATGAACGAATAGAAATAAAAAATTGTGAAATTGAAATATAATTATGTAATAAAAAAGTACAAATATAAATATATTAAAATTATAAATGAATAAAATTGCATTTAAAATATGGTTGTGTTATATTAGTATTTAATATAAAAATGAGGAGTGACTTGTTAGTTCATTCTCATATTATTTATTTATAAATTTTAAATATGAATATTACCTAGCATAAAATATTAAAATCAGTTATGAAGCATAAAATATTATAATTGTTTGTGAAACATAAAATATTATAATAATTGTAAATTTATAATTGATATTGGGTGATTTTGGTAGACGGAAATACAATGAATAAAAAAATGTATATATCAAAGTATATTTTTGAAACAACCCGTTAAAGAGCCGGTGAAGATCTCGATAATAGTATTGTTGGTGGCAGTTTTAATTTAATTAAATAATTAAAATAATAAATGAAATATTAGGTATCTAAAAGTTAAGAGTTAAGTTTTATATTGAGTATATAAAAAAATTTGAATAACATATAATAAAGTATAATTATAATTTAATGTGTTAAAATTTGGTGTTAATATTTATCTGGGTTGAATTTAATTTATATTTTATTGGTATATTTTTTTCTATAATGATAATAAAATAAAATGATCTTTATATAAAAAGTTTTTTCGTAGATAATATATCACTATACTTATATAGTGCATCCGAACAATGTTACAACATCATGGGATTATTAAAAACAATTAAGGTGATAAAAGATGCATTTTATCAAGAAAATTGTTTCTTAATATTTTCATAATGTTTTAAATACAATTTTAACATTGGAGACAGAATTCTTAACTGAACAATATGTGATGTACGTTTAGGCTGATGTTATAAACAACAGCTAATTTTATAATAAAAAGTAATATTATAATATATTACTTATATTTTTTTCTTTTATCTTTCTTATTTTTATTTTTATATTTTTACTTTCCTTTTCTCATTTTTTTCATTCTTCCATTTCAACTCTTTTTTTAATTTATTTTCTTTAATTTTTTTTTTAATTTCATCTCTAAAACATAAAATTTATATTTTTTATTATTCTTTAGTTTTTTTTAATTGTTTTGTCTTTTGTTCAAGAAGACATAAGGTTAAAAAGTTAAAAAATAAAGCAAATACCTCTTACTAATTTATTAAGTAAAAAATAGTAAATAAAATTTTTATTATTTTTGTTTACTATTATAACAAATTAGCATGTTTAGTTTAACATAAAAATATGTAATATTGATATGATTTTTATATTTATTATAAATTAGATAGTTATTTAAATGTTTATGATATTCTATTTTAATGTTAAAATATGAAAAAAAATAGTTTGAGTTTTAAAGATATTTAAAAATAAAATTATAAATTTAATTTAAAAAGAAAAAAATAATAGATAAAATACATCTTATTTTCTAAAATTTAAATTAATTAGTAATATTAAATATACATTATATTTATTTTTATATAATAATTAACTTTTATATATTGACTCTCCTCTTCTATAAAAAATTTTATTTCACCCTGCAGATGCTCCTTATTTATTTATGAAAGAAGAAATTGATCAACATAAAAGATTGTTACAGTATGTGATTTTAACATGAAAATCATATAGATTTTATTTAAATATATTACATATTTAATATTATTAATTAAATTTAAGTTTTAGAAAATAAAATTTATTTCATTTATAATTTTTTTTCTTTTAAAAAAATGAGTCTACAATTTTAAAACTTAATTTTTTTTTCTATTCACATCTTAATATTAAACTAGAGTCCTAAAACATTAAAATAACTAATTAGTTTATAAATGTAAAAAAATTTACATCAATTTTTATATTATACTATTCGTTTTTTATAATAATAAATAATATTAATATAGAAAATAAATCTATTTATTGTTTTTTACTTAAAAAATTATTAAGAGATATCTCATTTATTTTTTAATTTTTTTGCCTGATACGTGTTTAAACTAACCACACAAAAAACTAAACAAACTAAAAAATAAAAAATTTGAAAATTAAAGAGAAAAATTTATTATTTGTATGTTATAAACAAAAACAATGTGAAATTGAATGAGTGATAAAAATAAAAGATAAAATATAAAAAAATAAAATAAATGATAAGTGATAAAAATAAAATAAAGAAATAAGAAAAGATTAGATGAATTTGTAATAAAAAAAGTTGAAGTAAAAAAAAAGTGAAAATGGAAAATAAAAATTTGAAAATAGAAGAAAAAAAATGTAAATGACGAATTGTATAAAAAATAAATATAATATTTATTATAAATAAAAATTGAGAGAAAAAAATAAATTAAAAAATAAATTTTTTATTTATATTTATATTTATAAAATAACTTTTAATTTATTTTTAAAATTATTATGTATATAAAAAGAATTATGAGTTGCGGTTGGAGGATCATGATTGTGCTGCCCCGTAACTCTCTCTCTCTCTCTCTCTCTCTCTCTCTATATATATATATATATTTAAATATATCAATAAATTTATTATTTTCATAAGTTTGATTTAATGAATTTAAATAAAAAACACAAAAAAAATGTCACTAAATTTGATAATTCCATAATTAATTATATTTATTTTTTAATAAATTTTAGTAGTTACAAATCTTCTCTTTATAAATGATGAAAATCTCATAATCATTTTTTAAAATAATTATATTAATAAAAAGCTATTAAAAGAATAATAACAATATTAATTATAAAGAATTAAAAATAATGTTTTTTCATTATTTTTCTTAATTTTTTTATTTTATAATTTTATTTTTTTATACTTAAATTTAAAATTATTTTACTTTGATATGATTGACAAAATAACTAAATGAATTGTAATTATTTTTCATTAAAAAATTGATATTTAATGGTATTTTGATATTGTTATAAAATTGATAAAATGATTAAAAACTAATTTATTAAGTTGTAAAATATAAAAAATTAAAAAATAAACTTTTTACTTAAAAAAGTACAAGAATTAAAAATATACTTAATCTTAAGAAAATATTAATTATAATTAATAATAAGTATTCTTATTTTTTTATTTATTTGTTTCTTCTTATTATTTCTTTTTTTTTTTACCTTTCTCAATTTTCATATTTAAATCAAATAAAGCCCAAAAGAAAAATAAAATAAAGGTTGCATTGCATGACATTCTTTGCGCCTACATTTATTGGACCCCACCATAATAGTCTCATGCATCTTTCTGTCACTTTCATTATCCACCTTCGAAATAATCTTAACCTAACCAACAAACTTTTATTCATTCTTTTTATTTTTATTTTTTTGTTTGTTTTTTTTTTTTCATTCCCCCTCTCACTTCACTACCACCATCCCTTGCCAACTTTTTATTGTTCCCACGTGCCACTCGGAACGCCGCCGCCTCCGATGATCGCCGTCGTTGATTACCCGACACCGTTTTGGTATTTTCAGTTCGCTTCTTCCTTGAATTTCATCTCTCCGTTTGTTTCCCGAGAAAGTGAAGAGAACCGACACTTTTTAATTTTGTAAAATTGAGAGTTTCTGCGTGTGTTACCTTGAAGTTGAGATCTTCTTCTTTTTCCCATTTTTCCATATGGATTTTTTTTTTAAACGAGCTTGGAGTTGTGTGAGCATGTAGTCCATTTTACCTGGTAGCTGACCTCATCCAATAGGATAAGATTTTTATTTTTCTTTTGTGATAAATCAACAGGAATGGTTTTTGAAATTTTATAAAAAAAAAGGGTCTTTTGTTTAAATAATGATTTCAAACAGCTCTTACAATCTGGGCCAAATACAAAAGCTTGATTCCTTGTGGCACTGTTCAAAATGTTTGAACCTTTAACAGTTTCCACACATTATTGGAGAATTAAGAAACATGGGGAACTGTTTGGTAATGTGTTTGTCCTTGTTTTATTGTATTATTAATATGCACTTTTATTGTAATGTGTCTTTGTTGTCATGCAAACATTGAATGTGATCAACCGAGCATATTCTAATAAGTGTGAGAATAAGTGGAATGAAAATTACTTTATGCAAAGATTTTGGACAAGATAACTAGATAGAGATTGATCATGCTGATAAACATTTATTTTTTGGTCAATGGCCATATATTGAAATAGTTTTCTGGTGCGCTGATGAGCCAAACTGATGTTATTGACAGTAGAAGGGGGAGGATTCTTCTCTTCTTCAGCTTCAGGAAAGTTTTGCCGTAGAGCCAGCTCCAGTTGTTAGGCTAAGAATCTGACCACGAGCTCCAGCTGGCTTCCAGAAAGAAACGCCTCTCCAGCAGGTGCGCTTCCTTTGTTTGCTTTGGTTGCGCCTCTGCAAGGCTTGATACTAAATCTCATCTTAGAGTGGGCCATGCCAAACATCATGATGTCTCTTCAGGGACCCTGGTTTCCACCAAGGGCATGCATCCTTCTGATAATGGAAATGGTGATAGTAGAAAGGTTGCACTTAAAAGTAGCTTAAAAAGGCGAGAAAATAAACAACCAGCTCCTGTTGAGGCTGTTTCCGAACATGAGGCATCGGTAGGAAAAGGGAATAATGCTCATGGTCAAACAGGGAGAAGGGAAGTTCAATGGACAGATGCTTGTGGTAGTGAGCTTGTTCAAATACAAGAATTTGAACCCAGGTATTTGACTATTTTATTTTCTCTACTGACTATTATATACGTAAAAATTTACATACTCAGTGGAGATATTTTTGCTGTTTTTGTTTTCTTTTACTTTTGTTTGTGTGATCATGTGTAAAGTTTGGAAGTTCCTGTTGTGTCACATTTTATCACTAGGAACTCCTAGTACTTCATTTTGTAAGCTCGGGAGTGAATCGCACATGTGTGTACAGTCTTCTCTTCTCCTTTCTTCTATTATTACTGATTTAAATATCTGATAGTTATTGTTACCAAAGGTCTAGGAAAGTCTTGGGGCTTTGATTGAAAACGGTTTGCATTTTCATGAGGTAAGAGTGAGCTGAATTCTGATTAGAGCAGGAGCAGAACTTTTCAGGCACGGTTGTGAACTGTAAGAAGCTTTATGTTTTGTTCTTTTCAAATGCAGTCTATCAGGTCTAACTGATACAGTTAGTGAACCTAGTTTTAAATTTGTACAAGCCTAAATGATAACCTTGGTTCGGATGATTAAATACAGCTGCAGCTGCATTATTTCCCTATCCATTTGAATGAATAATCTGATTGTTCTTAAGAGTCATATTTGCTTATTCTTCTACTACTAGGTAATTCTGATCTTGTTATAATTGGAGATCCCTTTCCTCACCATGTTCTCTCTATTCACTGGCTTCAACATTTTGAAGGATTTCTCCATTGAAAATTGGTATGTGGAACTCAGATTGATTAAAAGGTTAATTCCAGTATAGACAAGGGAGTCTTTCATCCATCATTACTTATGGAGTTATGGTGCTTAAACTCTTAGGTATTTTTCTGCCACATCTTTGTCCAGCAGTTGATCAATAGGATTAATACTAAAATTCTGTTTGGTTGATGGTTCTCAAGTTTATCACTCATTACAAGTTATCCAGGTAATACATTCTCAAGTAATCGATGCCTAGTTAATTTAAGTGATCGTATGCTAGTTAGTCCTACAAAACTAGCTTTTATGGTAAGGATTGCTAAAGCTATATAAGCATTACTTTATCTTTATTAAGTAGGATTTCAACTCCCGAAGAGCTGACATATTGACAGTTCTCAATATGATGCTTCACTCAACCCCTTCATAGGTAGCCCTTTTTGAGACTTTGACAGCTAATTTAGATAGGCCGCAATTAAGGCAGCGTACCCTCTTACACCCAGGGTTACCGGATGGAAGTGGGGCAATGCAAGGTTACTCAACAATGGATCCAAGAATAGCCTCTGAAATCGTCGTAAAGTTTGGATTTAAGATTTATCTTAGTTCTACAAAACTGACTTACATGGTAAGGATTGACCAAACTTTATTAGCATTAGGTAGGTTTTATCAGTAGTTGATGTAAGACCTCATCCCCTAAGAGATGATGTCCCAGATGTTGCACACTACAATTCTCCACTAAGCCTTTCTGGTCAACCTCTTCATTGGTAGCCATTTCCTAGGCATTGACTACCACCTTTGATAGACCACAATTAAGGTAGGCTAGGGTGACTACAATTAAGGCCTGCTTTCCACAAAGGAATCCTTCTCTGATATTTCTTTTCTATTTTGGTATTTTCAGCATTTTGTTATTGTAATCAGAGTCTTATGCTCTAAATTTTCATTTATTCCCGATGGTAAATTTCAGTTCATTTAGAACCATACATAGCAGTTAAGTGGGAGGGTAGAGATAAAGAAAGACTAAGAATTGAAAAGACTTCTGTTATTATTGAATGTAGATTCAAGAAGCATCTCCTCCTTCCAAAGGGTCTACCCGTACACCAGAGCAGACTTCTGTTATTAATTTGTCCCCCCCAAACAACCCAAAAAACGATGCCTTCCCTGTGTATATATCCCAAATAGTTCCTTTAAGATTCGTTTGGTTACGCCTTCTCGAAAGGTTGTCTATGAATTAGTCGTCGAGTATTTAATATGTTGCTAAGTTAATCCCTCAGATATTTTTGGTTTCCAATTTGTTTATAAAATTTTGGAGGACTCGTTTAGTGATGCATGCAACCTTAGGAGGACTAAATTGGTTTTTCTCCAACTTCTTTAATGGTGGAATCATTGCCTACTGAGGTGAAACCTTCAGGTGTTGTCCATTCAGTTTTTGGACATTTTATACGACTTTACCTCTAGCTCTTAATATCTTATTCAATTTTCATGTCTTAAGTGATTGACCAACATATGACCGTAGTTTTCACTCCAAATAGTAAGGCTCGTGTTTTCTCTTCTCCATATATTATATTAAACAATACAAATTTGACCGAACAACAATTAGTGTATTTTCAATTTGTCATCCTTTACCATACTAGTTGACAACCATTTATTTTATATTTGATGCTATGAAATCTTTTATTATTGTTAATGGATGAAGTGGATGTAATGGAAGTTTCTAACTTTGTTCCCTTGCATATTTATATTTTTCTCTTTCTTGTTTTGTTGCGTACGTATTCTTTGAGATCATGATTGTTGTTCAATTGCAGCGAAGTGTCAGTTGATGAATTTGACAATGGGAATAACAAAACTTGCTCCTGTGCTATAATGTAAACTGGCATTCCAAAAGATTACATAGACCCATTTATGAGGTGTCAAGTTCTTCATTGCCAACATATGTCCATCACTCAACTTAAGGAAAAGGAGCAGATAGTTTTCAGTCTTGTGGAGATTTATACGCCATCTCTTGCCTGAAATGCTTGCTGTGGCCTTCAATTTTGTTCCACTCCTTTCATCAATTTTTGTAGAATCTCTCATGTGAATTCTTTGACTTTTGATTCATGATTTTTATGCTGTTCTAGGTTCTTATTTATTATATAACTTAAACAAAGTTATAGTTTCATGCTCTTTCGATGTGTAGAAGTGGTACAGATGTAATATTTTTGTAAAAAATGGGTGCTGTCTAGATGTGGAAATGAACCTCCGATGCTAGCTTCAGAGAAATTCAGTTCCTTCAGACAAACATTTCAGTGAGCTAAAACATGACAACAGATTTCTTATTTATGATATTCTTTAACTCACTCAGATATTTTTTGGACAAAACATAATTTGCATTATGCTGTAGTTATTTCAGAGTCAGTCAGATGAACATTCTTGCTTGTTTGAACAAATAAGTACTGTAAATGATTATGTACAGTGTAGTTGTGTCATCTATATCTTTTAACATTTTCTTTAATAAGAATTTTATCCAATACTCTTATGATTTTATGATTTTCTAGATGGGATTGATTTATATAAAATAAAGTTAAAATTTGTTGTTGAACCAATTTTTTTAAAAAATTAAAAGATCAATTTTTTATAAATTTTAATTATTATTATTAATAAATTTATTATATATTACTGATTAAATCTTGAACACTTTTTTTATACTATTGGGTTTCAAAAACACGATTATTGTATCATTTATAATAATTTGAAGCCTATTTTATATTTTTATAAAAATAATTGAATGTTATTAGATTAATACAAATTCTTTAACCCAAAATTATGTACTGCATTTAAATAAATCTGGTGAACTAATTACTAACTCTTATTTTAGTTGAATCAATCAACTAATTAATTCTTGTTTTTCTTATTATTTTGATATTAAATCGTGTATTTTAATTATGAAATTATTATATTAATTAACATGATGAGAGTGTTATATGTATGGAAAATAATGTTCTTTTTACTTTATTTTTAATTTAAATAGAAATATTGTATAGTATAAATTAATAATAAATACATACTATCGAAAAATTATATAGTAATTAAAAGTAAAGTAAATATAATTAAATAATTTATCTCTAAACAAATCACTATAAGAGTCCAAAATTAATTAAATATTAAAATTAAAATTAAAAATAACCTCAAAATATATTTATCAATAAAAAAATTAAAATTTATATTAAAATATGATATATACATCTAATTATGTCATTTTACATATAAAATTTACTATATAATTGTAACTGAATAAATCAATTTTGTAATTTTCAACAACTACCAATAAATTAAAATAAATACAATATTCTCAGTTAAAATTCAAGTCGAACTAGCTTAAGAACTACTTTATCCAACATAATCATAATGCTCAAATAAACTTAAAAAAAATGATTTAATCATTGATTTGAGCACAAATTTTGTAATTCTAAAATATTGGATCATAAGCATTCCAGATTCCAACCAAAACAATACAGGGAAGTGGTCGCATATTCTTCAAAATGGAAGTATCTATTATCCTTTGTGTTTTTTACACCAAAATCAGACAAAATTCAGTGGTTGATGATGCCAGGCCACTGACCCTGATGGAGTAAAAAACGACATTCTTGGTCAGCTTTCAGTGGTTAAGACACTCACAACTCCACTGACTTTGAGCCACTTTCTGGTGGAAACTTGGTCACACCTTATCCACACACATCTTCTCTGATTCTGATAAGATACCACAAAGTACAAGCCAATAGAAGAAAATGGCTAAAGCAGAATAAAAATAAAATGAAAATCTCAGCACAGTTAGTTAGCATCAGCAGAAAGAAAAAACAAAAATAAAGAAAAATGTCTATGGCATCTTCATTCCCATGCATCAAAATCCCAACATGTTCCTCTTCTCCATCTTGCACTCCATCAACTTCATCCTATTCTTTGAGGTTCTCTTCTTCCAAGCCTCACTGTGTCACTATAAGGAACTCTCAGGCTGAAGGGCCTGTGAGAAGGCCAGTGGCACCCCAAATAAGAGAACCATCATCAAGTGCCCCTCAGCTCCAGAAGCCAACACTTCCTTCTCAGCCTCCATCATCATCCCCTTCAGTTGTGCCTTCCCCACAGAAGCCAGCTACTGTTTTTGGGGATGATAAGAATGTCATTACATTAGAGTTTCAGCGGCAAAAGGCTAAGGAGTTGCAGGAATACTTCAAACAGAAGAAGCTTGAAGAAGCAAATCAGGGTCCTTTCTTCGGTTTCATAGGGAAAAATGAGATTAGTAATGGAAGGTAAAAGTTCTGCTATTGCAACAGAATAAGATTGGATCTATTCTATTTGTGGGGTTTATGTTAATTGCATTTTCTTTATCTTGAAACAATTGGTTAACTGTGACCAGCTAATTGGTAGATTGCTTCCTTTTTTATGAATTTGTGTTCTTTTGTTCCTCAACTTCAAGGGGGTTGGCTAAACAAATATTTTCTTTCTTTTTGTCATGACCTAATTTAATTGGCAAAAATTGGGACTTTGAGGATACCCAATTGGCGTAATTCAGGATACCCAATTCATTGTTCTGCAAAAGCTTCACTGTTCTTTGCACTGGAAACAGTAACACTTACATTACCAGATGCTGAATTTACAATTTTTCCGTTACTGTTTTCCAAAACAAAAATGGCCACGTGAAGAATCACAACTGGTAAGACGAAGTTATGTTGAACAACATTGTGGAAGATTTCTATCACATTCTATTGGAAACATAAAGTCCTATGCACTATAGGAGCTTCTTTGTGTCAAGGTGAAAACGAATAGATGCAATTAACATGTCTGCATCCATGTCATTTGTTGAAATTAGACTCAAAGCATCATTTCAGCTACTTGTGTTTAATACTTGTCATTCTATTTATTGAATACATCTAACACTCAAATTATATCAGCATTGTTATGCAAGTTCTGTTGTATTTTGACTTAACCGATCAGAAATTTCATTTGTACAGATGGGCAATGTTTGGTTTTGCTGTTGGGATGCTTACAGAGTATGCAACAGGGTCAGATTTTGTTGATCAAATAAAGATCCTTGTATCGAATTTTGGGATAGTAGATTTGGAATGAATACCTCAATCATATAAAATACTGTCAATACTTTCTTGTTCCTGTCCTTGGTGTAAACAAAAAATGTTGAGTAATTTGTTTTGTAATTCATTTATACCAAACAAGCTTTCTCTTCACATTGATGAAATCTCAAGAATGAGATGTTCCTTTCCCATTATGCTGGACTCCCTAGAGAATGAAAGTTCAAAGTGCATCCCAGTTTTATAGGTTAAATAATAAGTATACAGCTATTCTCTTAAGGAACTGCATTGTTCTTGCTTCAGAAAAGTTACCCTTTGTTTCACCAACTTCAAACCTGTGTTGAAAACATGTCTGAATATCAGTAGTTTGAAAGTGAATGATTTCCTATGACTCATCATTGTCACAACTGATAAGATGGAGCTCTGTACATTGACATTGTGAAACATTTCTATCTCTTTCTATTGGAAGAGTAAAGTTTTGTGCTTTGTGCCAAATGAAAGTGAATAGATGCAATCAACTTGTTTTATATGGATAGCTGAGACTTATCTACATTCATTTATTGCATATTAACTTATATCTATTTATACCCATTTTAGTATTAGTATTTATATTAATTTTAATATTAGAGAACTTAGTTCTAAAATTAGTATAAATAGATATTTAATAAACAATCTGTTTTCAGTGTAACTTGTTATCACATACTCATTTTTATTTTCACATTTTAATCTGATTTTTTTCTACCACTTATTAATTTTTATGATTTTTTTCTTTTATGATTTGATCTTACAATAAAAAAAAGTAGTGAGTTTTTTCTCTTTAATTTTTCATTTTTTTTCTAATTTCATTTTTATAACATAAACATATATTTTAACTTCTTAGTTTTTTTTCTCTTTTGTTTACATTATAAACATTTTCATATTAAAAAAAGACATGAAATTAAAAAAAATAAAGGAGTTACTCTATGATAAATTTTTTTAGAAAATAGGAAACAAATTTATTTTAATTATTTTGGTTAATTTTATAACAAATTAATATTTTTAGAGAATAGAAAAATATGAAAAATTAATATAAAATAAATAAATAAATAATTTTAATATTTTATGATATTTTATTTTAATATTAAAATATAAAAAAATAAAATAAAAATTTTGAATTTTAAATATTTTAAATATATATATTTCTGTCGATGTTAAAGAATGATTTATAATTTTGAATGGTGAATTGTACCCTAATAAACAAACTTATTAGTTTAGTTATTGCATGGTTGTCAAGTAGGTATGGATTTGTCCATCATTAATCAAATAAAGTTTGAGTCTTGTTTATTTATTATACATATTTTTTAAAGGTTTAATATAATTTTAATTATTTGTTAATTAAAATTACTTTTACTATTTTAGAAAAATCACAATTTTGATTTAATCTTTAGTTTTTCATACTTTTTTTTTCAGTTTCATTAGTTGTTTTGTTTTATAGTATATCAAACGAATAAGTTTGATTAGATAAAAAAAAATAGTATAATTTAAGAATCATGACAACAATCACAAATTTTCTGACAGAAAGGCAAAAATAAATAAAAAACTAAAGTAAGATTATATTTATGTATATATACATATATTTATTTATTTTATATTTCTCGTTAAAAATATAGAATATATAAAAGATTTTCAATTGTTTCAAAAGAATAGTTTTTAGAAAGCTGCGTCTCAAAGTAAAAGTAGGATTTGTAGTCAGTGTAATCCAACCAATCAATAACTTTTTTACTTCAATTTTATAAACATTTTTAAGACCACTTTTATTTATCTATGAACTTAACTTCAACTAAATGTAGTGAAAGTGCAAATACAACAAATAAGCCATATCGGTTAAATAATAATGTAATTTTCTGCTATACCCTTACTTTATATATATTTGATATATGATCACTTGTATTGTATAAATAGAATTATAATTAAAAAAATGTTAAGAAAATTATTTATTGAATAGAATAAAACATATGCCAATAAGGTTCGAATATAATCTTAGATGAGATTAAGTATTCAAATATTTTTACGTGAATTAAGTATTTTCATCGCATTTATGTTAACCAGAGAAAATGCATCTCAACTTTTTTTTTCTTTAAAAATAAGAATAGCATAAGAAACTTAGAGAGAAATTAAAGTTAAATAGAAAATAAGAACAAAAATCATATAGAACGTCGAGCCTCTCTTAAAAATAAAAATAAATATTTTATTATAAAATTTACAATTAAATTATTTAAATTTGGAGAAATTTATTAAAATTAAAAAAATATTGACTAAATTTTAAATAATACATAAAATATTTATTTTTATTTTTAAATAATTTTTGTTAAAAACTGCTTTGAAACGAGTCCAAACTAACTAAATACAACAGAAAGTATATGGTATTTTGGTTTTATACAAGAAGACCATGCAAGAAACCCTTAGTCACATTTTTTACCTGGTAAAAACGTCTTGATAATTAAGAACCTTTGGAGATAAATACAAGAAGAAAATAGTATTTCATTTTTCTCTAACAAAGGAAATTATTTTCTTTCCACTTTGAAAGCTGAGATCATTGAAGAAGAAGAAGAAGAAGAAGAAGGGGTGGTTCTACTAACACACATGAATTGTAATTAATGATTAATTAGTGATAAATATATAATAGTTCACACACCATTGCGAATATCTCCAAACTTGTTCTTGATCCACTTGAAGCCGTTTCTGACACTTGTTTTAAGCTTTCCCTCCACAGTGAAGACGTTATAACCCTTGATTCTCTTCTTCCTCTTGAGCTCTGGATCATTTGCTGCACAAAACCCAGTTTCCTTCTGGCGTGGCCCGTTGAAATTGTAGGAGTTTGATCGTTCTGTGAACCCAAATTCAGAGTATTTGGGGAGTGAGTTGTTTTTCTCCATCACCAACAAAACCAACCACAATATTCTCAGTGCCTTTGGTGTTTCCAAGAGTGCATGGAACAGGAAATGTATGTGTTAAATGGGGTTGGGTGGCTAGGTAGGTAGGTCGTGGGTTTTAGAGGGAGGGGTGCATCATGATCCACTGTGGTGCCACCCATGTGTGATGTTCCACAGCTCCTATCCAGGCTTGTCGGGGGCACGAGGGTCCATGGTGGTGATGGGGTGGTGGGACCTTTTGTAGGGAAGGGTTTGCCACCATCAAACAATATGGTTGGATCCACATGGAGTGTTGTGGGACCTCACATGTTTAGATAGGGTCATTCAATTTTTATTAACTTTTTTTCATAAATTATAAAAAATCTTTTAAATAAGATGTATATTTCAATTATATATTATAATAATTATATGAGATTGTTTAATTTTTAATGTTAAGAGAAAACTTAATTAATGGTAAGTCCATCCTACTTTTTAATCAGTCAAAAATAAAATATGATACACGGGTATATTATAATTAAGATAGATTATAGATTCTATCCATCAATATTTATAATTTTTTAAATATATTCTTAATTATATAAATATTTTTTTAAAATAAATTGAAAAATTCATTATAATTTATGTTAAAAAACTTAATTATAATTAATAGTTTAAATTTAATGGATTAGTATTTATAAATTTAATTATAATATTATTATATATTTATATATTTTAATTTTATGTGACTTTATAGTTAGTTAAGTTGGCAAATGGAATGTGACCTTGTTGAAGGATTCAAATTGAATCACTCATATTTTGGAAAAGTATAATTACTTAGTGATGATAATTTAGGTGGTGTTTGGCATTGCATGTTTTTATTAGATGTATTCAAATCCAACTTTATAGAGAGTTGGAGGTACATGTGGACCAACATGTACGGCACCAAGAATAACACAGCAACTGCCCTAATCAAACCTACTTATCCTATTTTTGTAAGTGTCTATGATGGGTCGGTTGATTTTGTTTGTTCAAAATCTTATCAAAGTGCTAATTAAGATAACAGAAATTATTTTATTCTGTAATTTATCATAAATAATAATATGTGAATAGATAATATTGTTAAGCTATTTTAAATAAATTATAAAAAGATATATTTTTTTGTTAAAACCCATTTTAATTGATTCTATTAATTTTTTATACTATTTTTCTTTAAACATTATCAATTTATTTTATCTTGTTCTTTTGCTGCAATTGGACGTAATTTAAAAATCCAAAACTTGAAAAAGTAGGGAAAAAAGATTGTGAAAATAATGTTTACTGTTGATAACCCTCATGCCTCACTTCGACAACAAAACAATCATCACATTTTCCTTTTTCTTTCTCTTTGTTGGTGTGCGCGTGTTAGTCAATAGTCACAAATAACGAAACCTAATTAAAAAGTTTTGTACTGGAACACTTGTCATTGCTGTTCGCAAGGAATCAATTCTATTAATTTTTCTTACATTTTTTTTATCTTTTCTCTCAAAAGTTAATACACTTTCCGTTTTCCACATTTATTGTAAGTTATCATCGATGTCTTTAACGTTAGACCGGCTATTCATCTGGTTCAAAACATTGGAGTCATTAAACAAGTGAAAATAAGATGAACATTTATTAAAATAAGATAAAAAATAATAAAATTATTATTATTTAAAATTGACATGACATAAAATAAATACTAAAATATATTATATTTTTTATAAAAATTTATATTACAAAATTTATTCTATTTTTTTCTATCAAAATTAGTTTAATTAAAATTCCATTATTTAAAATTAACAAACTAATTTCTAATTTAATTTCTAGTTACACTAGGTTTTAAAAATATAATTATTATTCACACTTGTCCTTAACATAAATACATTTTTTTCAAAATTTTATTAAGAAAATATGTTATAATCACTAAAAATTATTTATTTAGATTAGTCCCTAAAACTATTTTTCTGGATATGTGTTTTTGATGTTATAATATTTTTTGAAAAATTATAACCTTTTACAAAAGTTCTTAATAGTAGAAGAAAATTTTCAAAAATACCTAACTATTTTAAAGGGTTGTATACTTATGTTAAAATATGTTTTTTCATCATTATTAGTAAGAAGATTATTAAGTTTATAATGATTAAGTCATGTATCTGTTTATGCGTGTAAATTTTAATATGATTGAACAGTATTTATAAAATTAATTTATTCACGTATTTATAGAAATCATTGATTTATGTATTACTTAAATTTCTTTAAAGAAAATATTTGTATATATATATATATATATATATATATATATATATATATATATATATTTGTAGAGAGTTATTATATTTTATGGAATCAAAACTTCTTGTAATTGAAAACTTATACATTGATATATAAATTAGTTATCCACTTAACATAAAACTAATTACTTTTTCAATGAAGAATATTTTAATATATAAAAAATATATTATATCCTATAATATCCATACCTGGATTTACATTCATTTTATTCGCAAAATTCATACAAAAACATTTATTGATTGTTATATTTGTTTATGACAAAATCAAGTTAAATTTAAATTTAAATATATAATTGGATATATAATATATTTTTTTAGTTTCACTAATATTTTATAAAACTTAGTAATTTTGAAAATCATTTCGTAGAGTTTCAAGACTATGTCAAATCCTATAGGATTTACAAGAATATTTTGAGGAAAATAATATTTGAATTGATATGTATCAAAAATATGTGTTTGTGTCATTTACTATGTTTAATATTAAAAGAACAGAAAATCTTTAGGTAATATACTAGGTATTCACACATAATTAATTAAATGTTGGTCAATTTATTTCATAATATTGTATAAAAAAAACTATAAAGAAGTTAGTTTTACATTTTTGAATAACTGTTTCGTTAAAATTGGTACTATTGGTAAAATCCACAACACAAATATTGGAGAGTGCAAACTCTAATTTTCATAATCATGATTAATTAGTTTATAACTTGATTTGGTCTTTAACACATGAAGTAATTAATGCATAATGAAGTTTGGGACTAATTACAAGTTAGATCAAATTACTAATTATTGTTAATGATGGAGATTAAATTAAAGTAAGGTACCCCTTTATTGCTAGTAACTTAAATGATCAATGGATGTGGTGTGGATTATAATCCTTTTATTTTTGTTTGCAAATTTAGAAACTTAAATGAGAATTATAGAAGTATGGGCCACAATTGAAGAAGAAAAATGATGGTGAATTAATGTTATAGAATTGATAAAGTTGAGAACAATTATAATTGTGGGTGGGCATTAATGGAGTGAGAGCAATGAGAAGAGTTGTTCAAAAGTGTGAATATTTTTTCATGCAGAAAGCAGCAGCAACACCATGCAACTACATATATAATAACCTGCTTTTGCTTTCCATAAAAGCTGGTTGCTGCTCGATAAAGGGGTTCAACATCACGCATTCTTTTTTCATGCCAAAGCCAGACACCATAATGCTTCATGTCACACGCAAATCTTGTTCATGGAATCTTGAATATAAAAAGTAATTGTTTTTTATGCATATAAATAATGTTAATAGTCAATATCTACTCCTATGTTCACATTTTAAATTGGCCACTACTTTTATGTTCACTTTCTTTCTCATACAAACGCAAGTCTTGTGTTTTGAATTTCTACACCTGTTGTTTCTCCTTCATGGTTTATAAGGAGCAAAAGTGAGGTTATGAAAATTCCACGCCCAGTGGGACTCGAACCCACAATCGCCTGATTAGAAGTCAGGCGCCTTATCCATTAGGCCATAGGCGCATTTTGAAAACTCTTGCCATATATATTTATTTATTTAATATAATATTAGTTTTCTAGTGTATAATGTTTATTTTCATACTTTTTTTAATTACGAAAAAATATATTTTTATAGATGATAAATTAATAATGGATAAATTTGAAAAGGAAAATATAAACTAAGTTAATGAAAATAGTTAATTCTTATAAGTTTCTCAAGATCGTTAATATCATTAATTGTATTTAAAATATTATCTATTTTTTTAATTGTTTAATTAATTAACAATAAAGATGTATATCTTATTTTGGTTCTTGACTCTTAATTATGTAATTATAAATATTATAAATTTAAATTTTACTTACATATTTTATTTTAGTGATTTTATTGCTTAACCATATATCTTTTTTGTTATACTTTTGTAAAGTCTTGGATGGAATAGAGAATAGAGATAAAATTTAAACATCTAACAAAATAGGAAAATTAAATAAAAGCAACTAAAACAAGAGTAGTAAAGAATACACATCATAAGGTAAAGAATATGGAATAAAAATTTAATTAATTAATTTTTATTTTATATATATGTATATATATATATATATATATATATATATATATATATATATATATATATATATATATATATATATATATATATATGGGAGGGGGAGGGCAATAGAGGAGTATTCAATAATTAAGTGTTGCTTTAATAATCCGTCCATTCTTATATTTAAATTTATATTTTAAAATATTTTTTATTAGTTTATATTTGTATACTCAAACTTAGAAAATTGGGTGAGATGTTTTGTTGCTTTATTAATTAAGTGTTGCTTTATATTTAAAATTAAATTTTAAAACATTAATAGTATTTTAATTGTTTATAGTACATTTTTTATTTTTTATTTTACTTTTCTTTTTCTCAATTTCATCAAAATTCAACACAATATTATATTTCTTTCCTATCTTATTCTTAATATTTCCTTAATCTTTTTAATTAATTTGATAAATACATGCTATTTTTTTACTCTAAATATCATGAATCAATATTAATAATACCTAATATTTTTTCATATATATTTTAATAAAAATATAATAAATTAAAATATATATTCAAATTAAAAAATATATACCCGCATGTCCATTCATATGGTGATAAGTTAGAATCTAGAGCTTCTATTGTGACTCTTTTAGGAATTATGTCAATAAATGTGGAAATTATTTGTTTC